AGGAGGTGGCCCGGGACAGGGGGACCCAGGTGGGGCAGGAGGTGGCCGGGACAGGGGGCTCACAGGTCAGGTACACATCCTTCCAGGATGTCTCCTAGAGCCCAGCACCTACGCATTTGACTACCAGGCCGTTTCTCTGGGGGTGGCCGGGTGGGCTACATGCCCAGCGCCTGGGCCCTCCTGTCCCCAGGCCCAGTGTGTGGGTGCCCCACCCCCACTAGGCTGGGCTGCCTGCCCCCTGCCCTCCCTCTGGCAAAGGGGCCCCTGCAATCACCCCTCAGTCCTCCTGATCTGGGTGCTCTGGCTCCCTGCCCCCCCACCCCCTTGTCTGGCCTCACTCTGGTCGCGACCCCGCACCCTCATGACAATAGGGCCCCTTGGCCCTGTTCTTGCCCCACGCTTTGGGTTCAGGGACGTGTGGAGCAGTGCGGGGGTGGCGGGCCTGGGCTTTGCACTCGGTGTTCTGCAAGAACACTGTGCCCCTGACCTCCGGGACTAAGAAAAGGTCAAGCTCCCTGTGTGGGATGGGACATTCTGCCCCCCAGCTGGTGGCAGGAAAGCTACTGGGGTAGGGCTCGGCCAGCGAGCACCTCAGGCCCCTGGCCACCGCCACTGGCATGGGGCACTGGGAAGGGGTCCCAAAGAGGGGTGGAGCTGGGGGTCTCAGGACTCAGGAAGCAAGGTGCAGAGACATCCCTGGGAGCTAGTGGGCCCAGCAAGCACCGCCAGCCCCTCCATTTTCTGCCCGTCTCCCTTCCTGGGGTGGGACCCAGATGCCCCCGTCTTTGGTGGGCAGGATCTCAAGAGGACCCCGCCCCTGCCCAGTCCACCTCCAAGCCCTCCTCCAGGCCCACCTCTTCGGCCAGTTCTGAGGAGGAAGGTGAAAGGGGCACACCCCTGGGGAGGGGCACCTGCAGGTGGGCCCATAAAGCAGGGAGTATCTGAGTCAGCAGCGACATGGCCACTTGCTTTCTCTCAGTCCCTACTGGGATGGGGCCTTGCTGTGCCCTGTGGGTGGTGCTCACCCTGCTGAAAGGCCTGAAGGGCCAGATCCCAAACACCCCGCCAGGCATTACCTCCGTGTTACAGAGCTTCCAAGAAGACCAGGTCTGGGGGCTTGGAGGGCGGGGGAGAAAGTCAGCCAGGGTCCAAGTGCAGGGAGAAAGGAGGGCCAAGGTGGCCGGGGGGAGGCACCACCTGGGGACCCCAGCCTGGCTAGCCTGGTCTCAGATCCCCCCAGAGAGAGAGTCCTGACGTCCATCAGAAAAGGACTCTGGACAGGCCGTCCTGGGTCAGCAGTAACCCCTGCCAGTCCCCGTGCGGTGGGAACATCTCTGTCAACCGAAGCTCACAAAGGCCAGCCACTGGGCAAGGTCACCCTGGCCCTGCCAGGCCCAGGGCAGCCCTCCGGCTCCTGCCAGCATCATCAGTGCAGGCTCAGGCTGGGAGCCACTGCCTGGTGAGGGCCCTTGGGGCTGTCCCGGGCTCTGCCTACCTCAGGTTCCCACAGTTCCAGGGGGAATGGTTTGTTGTCGGCCTAGCAGGCAGCACCCACAGGAAGATGGACAGGTTCCTGTTGAACCCATTCATTGCAATGTTCGAGCAAAATGGAAACAGCCGCCTTAAAGTGTCGTATGCCATGACCCGGTGAGTGAGGATCCCTGGCCTGTACCCCTAGAAGCTAATGGCTTCATGGCTCAGGTCCAGCATGGGCCCCAGTGCCCCAGTTCTCCCAGGGCCCTTCTTCTAATTCAAAGTTCAACACAGGCTGCTGGTGAGCTAAGCCAGCTCTGGGGGCACACACAAAAGAGGGGCACGTTTACTGGATCACAGACTCAGAAGAGCCTTGGGGGCTTATGGATTTCAGGTACAGCTGGATCCAGGAGCTCAAACAGTGTGATCAGGGCCCCATCACCCCTTCCCTCTCCCTCTCTCATCTCTGTCTGCCCCAGACCTCTGTTCCAGAAAGTTCTCACTTTGCAGGGATAAAACATTAGCCTAGGCTGATGTCCTCCTCAGGGTTCCAATTCCAGAAAAGAGAGCATCCTGGTCAGCCTGGCAATGGCCTCTGACCGGGTTTCCTTGAGTCACGTGATCCTCCTGGACCCGTTGCTGCATCCAGGGTGACAGGTGCTCTGGTTGGTCTGCCTGGATGAAGTGCCTACCCATCTGGTTGGGAAGAAGTCGGGAGTCTTGATGGGTAACCCCCTGGAATGAGGTGAGGGTGGTGCCATCCCCCCTTTGGGGGACACCAATGCCATGAGGGCTTCTTTACCTTTACCACGTCTCCAGCAGGCCTGGAGCCTTCCTTGCCCCCCTGCCTGGCTATGGGGGAGAAGGGGCCTGGGAACCTCTGGCTCTTTGGCTCCAAGTAATATAAAATAGGGACCTTAAGCAAGGCGGGTTTGTCATGCCGACCAGGAGTAGATCCTAGAAGCTGAGAGCCTCCCTCTGAGGGTCTCCACTGGCCCCTGCCCCAGCCTGCCAGCAAGCACCATCAAAGCCACCTGCAGAGGCTCAGCCACCCCAGAACCCGCCTTTGGAGTGTCTCAGATTCCTGGGAGCATCTGACTGGCCTGGCTCCTGCCAGAGGTTGATTAATGGGGGGAGTGAGGAACAAAGAACCCAGTGCCAATGCAGCTGGACCGAGAAGCCTTCTGGGCGGCCTCGCCTCTCCCCCACCTGCAGGTCAGACTGCACTTGGTTGCTTCTCAAAACAAGTACACCCGCCTGGAGAGGCCCCTGCACTGTGGGAGGGCTCCCTGGGGCTCAGGCCTGGGGGGCTATCGGGCCCGGCCCAGGAGCAGCCGCCCGGAGCCCCCACTTCTCCCCATCTGGCCTGGCTCAGCGAAGTCCAGGGCTGCTGGCTGGGGGCACCGGCCACCATGCCCAGCTGGGCCCACTCAAGACGCCCAGAGGGGACCCTGTTGCCAGAAACACCTGTTTCTCAGCATCGCGCATACACACTTTGGAGGTCCTAGTCCAGGCGATGAGGAGCAGCCAGTGGGTGGGCTGGCCAGGGGCTTCAAGGGGATGCGTGCAGGTGGGGGAGAGCTCACGCCTCGTTCCCCAGGAGGGACACCGCTCCCGGGGGAGGGCAGCAAAGCCTCCTGTGTGCTGGGCCGTGCCCCTGGCTTCTGACAGATGCCTCCTCCAAACGGCTGAATTCTCTCTCTCTCTCGGGAGCGGGGGGCACTTCGGGGCCAGCCCCTGAGACAGAGAAGGAAACCCGAGGTCTGGCCAGGTTCCAGAACTTTTCTCTCCTGCAGGGGCCACCACTGTGTCACCTGGTCTTATGTGCTGGTTCCGGCGGCGCGGCCTGGGAGCTTCTGGGTGGACCGCAGAGAGGGTGAGAGGGTGACCAGCGGGAGGCAGGGGGGCAGCCTGCGGAGGGCGCCGGGGGGGAACGCCCCTCACACAGCGGCGGTACCACCCCTGTGTCCGGGGCAGAGCCCGAGGAGGTCCAGGTGTACGACACGGACTACAGTGTGTTCGCGCTGATGCTGTTCCGAAGACAGTCAGGTGGCCAGAGTGTCCTCAGGGTCAACCTGCTATGTGAGTCCCCGGCCCAGTGGCCACGGTCGGGCTGGTGGGAGCAGGAGGGGGAGGGAGGGCAGGGTGCCCAGTACTGCCCAGCGCTGCCCACTCACCCTCCGTGGCTAAGGGCCATGCTCTGTTCATTGGGCCCCAGGCAGGATGTGGATGATCCAGACCCAGGTGCTGGACAAATTTGTCTGCCTGGTCAGAGCTCTGGGCCTGTCGGACAACAACATCGTCTTCCCAGACTTGACAGGTAACGGGCCCTCAGGCCGTGGCAGGGGCCTGCACCCAGCATGGGGCCCGCCCATGGGCCTTGAAAGCCCCATGGGAGCCCGCAGGGGAGCGTGGTCTGCGTGCAGGGCCTACCTGTGGGGTCCTGGCAACCCCAGAGGGTTCAGCCTGAGCCCAAAGGGTGGATCCTCATAACTCCTTGGTCTCTGCTCCCCCCCGGGCCCCCCTGTCCCGGGCCACCTCCTGCCCCCACCCAGGCCCCCCCCCCATCCTGGGCCACCTCCTCTCATTCCAGGAGCATTTCCCACGTCTGGCTCTTTACACGTGTATGACCGTGTGTGCACAGGGTGGCGTCCATAAAGCATGTGCACACATGCGGACATGCAGTGCTCATGCTGGCACACGCCCCCACCTACACAGCCATGCATGCACATGTATGCACGCACAGGGAGAAGTGCGTGTGCACAGTGTTCACAAGAGTGCTCGGCTGCACATCTGCACCGAGTCTGGGGCTGGGGTGGGGGCAGGGCAGCGCCCGGGAGGGCGTGTCCCTCGGTCCCTGGCTGGCCTCCCGGGCCCCAGCACCTTCCCCCCCACACTACACCTCGCTGCAGGCCCCCTTCCTCCCTCCGTCCCCTATTCCTCTCCCCTCCCTGGAGCTCTCATGCCTCTGGCCTCCTCCCCATTCTCTGCTCCAACCTCCATCTGAGACTCTGTCTCCCCCATCAGATTGGTCACCCCATCTGGGTACCTGCCGAAGGTGAACGCAGCTCCTCCCCAGCCAAGGCCTCTGCTCTCAGCATGGAATAAATCCTGTGCCAGGATCCAGGAGTAGGAGCCACCATGACCTTGGGGTGGTAGGGGAGGCACGAAGTAGGGGAGGACCCTCTGCACACATTCATGCCCACCCCCAGCCCTCCAGGCCTGTGCCGACCCTCTGGCCTCCCGGGCTGTGTCTGTGAGTGTGTATGGGGGGGTGTTTGCAGGTCCCTGTGAGTCCCAGGACAAGACCCCTCCATCCTACCCACTCAGCCCCCAGCTCCACCTCCCCACCCCCCAGAGCCCTGGAGCTGCCATGGGGGTGCAGCTGGGGCCCCAGAACAGGAGCAGGCCTAGATGCAGATGCCCCAGCCTGGAAGGAAGGGTGAGGGGAGACAGGTTTGGCTTCCTGCCGTGGGGGGGGTGGGGGTGGGGACAGGCTTCCGAGGCCTGTCCCCCACTGGGTGTAGGGACCCTTCAGGTACAGAGAGCCACAACCTGGGATCCCAGCCGTCTGCACACCTGAGATGCAGCTGCCCTGCCCCAGACAGGACCCGTCTCCCCCCCCAATCCTGGCCCCCAGGGATCTCCAAGCAGGGGGGCAGCAAGCCAAGCCCAGGGCCTGCCGGGAAGCTGCCCCCCCCCCCCGCCCCCAGAGATCAAAGAACAGCTAGAGAGACCTCTTGCTGTGTACCAGATTGCATTTCCTTGGCCTGAGTGTGCTACCCCCATCTGGGCCTGTTCTTCCCTTGGGGCAGGGTCAGCGGAAGGGGATGAAAGCAGGTGGGCTGTCCATGGCCCGGCGGGGGAAGCATTTGTCCCTCTGGCACTCACCTGGCCTGTCAGCTTCAGCCCTGGGTGGTGGGAGGGGCCCTTCCCCAAAGACTCCCCACGGCCTGGGTCGTGCATTCCTCCCAGCCTTGCCCACCAAGGTCACACAAAGCCCTGTACTGTGACAGTGACATCGATGGGCCGCCTCGGGCTTCCCCTGGTCCTGGGAGCACAAAGCTGCATCCCAGGAGAGCCTTCCAGGCCGCAGATGGTGGCGAGCTGCATCTACTGGGGGCCACAGAGATCTGGGGATCTGGGGATCATGTAGCAAGCTGCCCTAGCGCCCTGGTGGAGAGGCCTCCTTTGGCCCTTCTCCGGCCATAGCCCTTCCCGCCAGTGCCCCTTGTCACGGCGCACCTGCGCTGGCCCCACGGGGCAGGTGCCCACCCGAGCCCAGCTGCAGGCTGGCCAAGGTTGGCTTGGGCGGGCAGGGCCGGGGCCTCAGGCCCTGAGGGGATGGAGCCGGGGCTGGGCGGAGAGGAACAGGCTGGGAAACTGAGCCTCCTGCACGTGACCCTAGCCTCCACTTCCACGAAAGGACAGAAGCTGCCTTGTTTACTAGTCTAAAGGGCAGGTCATGATTTTGAGCAACTCAGGACCTCCAGGAATTCTCTCGGCCCTGCCTGGGGGCCTGGGTCCCTGGGGTGTCCCCATTCCTCAGTGACACGCAGGACTCAGGGCCCTGGAGGATGCCCGCGACCACCCCCAGCCCTTGTCCCGGCCCTGTCCCCCTCCTGAGGGGCTGTGGTGTGGGTCCCAGCAGGCCCCGCGGCCGGACATAGCTCTCTGCAGGGTCAGTGCCACTGCCCGGCTCAGTGTTGCCACAGCTGCCCACTGGCTGGCGGCCCAGGATACCCCTCGATGCCCCCCCCCCGGCCCCCCGCAGCTTCTCCCTGAGCCTGGTGAGAGCAGGTGTGCCGTAGTCTGGACGTCTGTCCCCATGTTCCAGGCGGCACGGTTACTGGCCTGTCCCTAGGAATGGTCAGCACCGCAGGAACCTCCCCGTTCCGGCCTAGACAGGCAGAAACCCTATAAAACGGAAAAGGCTTGGACCCCGGAGCCAAGGGCACAAGTGGGTCCAGCTGAGCCTTGGATATTCTCCAGCTGCCCGGGTCCCCAGCCTCCTCAGGTCCCCGGGCAGTTGCTGCATGGCGCCAGCACCTGATGTCAGAAGACCACCTCCAAGGTCATGCCCCTGCTGTGTCCCAACCCTCCTGGAGGCTCAGTCTGCCATTTCTCTCACCCAAGCCCCCCCTGCAGGTCAGGGAGTGCCACAGCCGTGTGACAGGCGGGGTAGGCGTGGGTGAGGGCCACGGATCGTGTCCCCCCGACCCCGAGGCAGGATTCTAACCCAGTTCGTCGGGGCTGGGTGGACATCCTTGAGCCCAGCCTGAGCCGTGGCTGTGGTGTTTGAGGGGACACCCTGTCCGGGACCTCGTGGGCCGGCATCACTCTGTTTGCAGCCCAGCTGCTGTGGTGTCGAGGGCAGCAAGATGGGCAGGACACAGGACTGTGTCTGGGTGGACTGAGAAACCAGCCTGCTGCAGGGAGCCCTCCCCAGCCCCTGGGGGGCTATTCCGGGGAGAGTGGCCCCCTGGGAGGGATGGCCGGCAAGGCCAAGGGACCTTTGGGGCCCCATGTCTGCACCTGAGTCTGCTGGGGGCTTGACCGTGCGTGGTGGGGACGAGCCAGGGCAGCAGGGGCAGGAGGGACAGCTGGAGAGCTCCAGGATAGAGCAGCTGTGGGCTCAGGCCACCGTGGGACCAGCCTGGGCACAGGAGAGGCCGGGCACCCGCGGGGCCACCAGAGGTGGGCTGGGTCCCTTCGTCTGACGACAGGTGCTCTCGCCCCACCTGTTGGACTAATTTCTTTATTACATCATTTTCTCTCTTTATTAACTTGTAAATAATACTTTGTTGAGTTTTTTAAAACGTCTTTAAGTATCCACTTCTGTGGCATCAAGCACATTCACACTGTTGTGCAGCCGTCCCCTCGGGCCGTGCCCGGAACGTGGTCATCCTCCCAGTCTAGACTCTGTCCCACTAAACCCTGTTCCCGGCCCCCACC